AAAAAATAATAATAATAATAATACAGAATGAGTTGCATTTAGCATATACAGTATGTATTGCTTAACAATTACCGAACACCTGGACTTCACAACACGGCAACCTCCAGTATTTCACCACCGATATGTGCTGCATCTTGATCAGGGTGTAACTAAGTGCTCACTAAATATGAGGAGATAAGCCTGTCCCTCGGGTATTACACTGAGGGAGGAATCTTTGCATTTCATTTATCATGTTACATTATTTAGGCTACTCCTTGGGGAAAACACACTCTCTTTTGTCATAAGTTATGCTAATGGCTGTTACTACCATCTGTGAACTGTGGACCATCGGTTGAGCATCGTGCGCAATCGATGAGCGATGAGAATGGTGTCATCTTTGAGTGATTAATCAGAGAGGGAGGTCCTGAGCTCCCAGAAAGCTGATGTGGCTGCAGCTAGGCCAGCAGGTCAGCCAGGCCCAACACCATCTCCAGCTCCCCAACACCCACCCCTTTTTACAAAGTACTGTACACCATGTCTCGGTCTCTGCCAATCTCCATAATAAACAGGCCTCTGGCAGCACCAGAAAGCGGATAATGGTTCACCTGGAGGTAACGTGAAAAGAAAACGGAACTCTTTGCATAACAAATAGAGACAGAGATCTACACAACAAAGCAAAAACTGATCTTGTAGAAAGGATTATCCAAACATGTCCAAAACTGGAAACAGTTTTTTTTTAAAGCACAAAGGCACACTTATAGGATAAAAAAGATTTAGCTTTGCTGAAATTGCAAAACTTTCATCAGCGGGGGGGAATTTTACCATGAGTTCAGAACCCAAAAGGGCACAGTTGGGTGTTATTCGTCCATCTATTTCTGTTCTCCTCACCCTGTAGAAACACATCCTTCTACAGTGTGGTCATTCTTTGCCGTCCGCATGGAAACGGAGAGTTTGTTCTTATCAGTTTTGGAAAAGTGTCCAATGAAGAAAGAATTATTCACAGAAATGTTATCCAAATGTGCAGACCGCCTCCAAGGTAAAAAATGTCCGACACGATCATCCTTCATTGTTGTTGCCAATTTGGGTGGTGTTTTCACATGGTCCCGCGCAAACTGGGACAACCACATGACCGTCTCAGCAAATATGCATTCGTACACGAGCAGGGAAATGCAAAGGCAGCTTTTTGAAATCAATCTAATCCAGGACCCCTGTTTCAAACGTGACAGTTGTCAGGCTCCCAAAACATCACAAACATGGTTATCATTTGAAATAGTATACATGGATCTTTTTTTTTTTTTTTTTTTAACGTTTCGGTCCATTGTTTCCATGAAAAATGCATGTTTGTGAGTAAAAACGTAAACTTTCAAAATCGAATCTCAAAGTGATCATTTTCGAAAATGCCACGTAAAGCGGCCAATTTCCTCAAAATGAAATCTGTGCAAGCTTGTCACATCCGTTTATGGATGGCTAAACACAAGGCTGCTGTTGTTGGAACCTTGATGATGCACAAGAATAAAATCACAGGACAACTACCGTAATCAGATACAATCAGAGGCACATCAACCATAATCCCGCATGTGTTTGTAGACTCATGCCAATGAAGAGACCTGAGGGCCAGCAGCGCTAAAGTCGGTGCCACGCTAACAATGGTGAAGGCTAGTTAATTCAGTGAGCACTGGAGCCCAATGACTAAATTATTCAGAATTAGGATTTATTAAGCAAGCATGGATGTGCCCCACTGCTCGGCTGGACTTGAGAAAAGAGGCCCAACGCGAGAAAAACAATTTGTTTGGGAGGTCTCGTCGAAGCCTGTTGCTAAATGGGCAACAATTGTGGTTAGAATGCTAATGAGGAAGCCCCCCTTTTCTGAATTGGGACATCAAAAGGCAGGGGATGCAGTCATGTTGCCTTTGATAAATTGGAGTGGCGGTGAGATTGACAGCAGGATGTTTACATTTTTTTGGGACGGTGCCAGCATCCAGCCACATGGCGACACACATTACAAGATCATCTCAGTACCATTCATAATTATCCACTATTCACCAAGGCCTCATTTAGTGTGCTATTATCAGAGATCATTGTTATTTCCCTCCATGTATGTTCAGAATCCCAGCGAGACCAATATGTCTGCTGCAGATAACCGTGCTATTTTGGTTAACTCCATTGTGTACATGAAAGTGAAAACATAGGGCCCAGTGAGAATTCCCATTCGTGATTTTATAGGATTAAACACAGCGCCAGAGCATTAAAATGTCCATTGTAATCTGTATCTTGTATTATTTTTATTTTTTTGTCTCTATGTAAATTAATGCTCAGAGTACACACAGTGTTTTTAGGGACACAAAAAACAAAAAAAAATATTCAATTGCACTGAATTCACACCATCATGGCATATGCCAACCAAAATAATATTTCACCTGAATTTTGGGTGATGAACGAATACTGACTGGGGTTGACATGACCAAGATTTTGGAGCTGATCCCTCCCCCCCCCCCCCAGTTTATTTTTAATTTAATTTTAATTTAAAATTAAATTAAAAATAAATACAAATAACCGGTCAACGATCGATGAGAAAATGGGCCATTCTATCCAATCCATTTACAGAACTTATTTAACGTACAGTTGAGACTGGGACCGGTCCAACTCTCACGGGTAGCCAACATTTGTGAATAACTGACACCTATTGTAATGCAATTGGAAAAAAAATAATTACACCCTAAACATTTTCCGCAAATCACTGATTCACATTCAATACAATATAGATAGCTAGATAGTAAAGCAAATTATTATTATTGCAACTGACCAACAATTTTTTTACCGAAAAGGCAAAATATCTGCTCCAGATCTGTCTTAAGTCTAACACTGACAAAAGAATATCTAAAAGTGAGAGGACGGTCAACTAAATGTCTTCACGTGAAGTGGAGGTTGAGGGTTTTTTTTTTTTATTTTATTTTTTTGGTCAGTTTTGGTGAAATGGTAGTAGGCCATCCTCCCAATCTGTGGGAACTAAATAAATCTCTGGTGTATGAGGCCAAACACGATGAATCATCCTGTTGTGAAAGTGCACCTCTGCAGAGTCCTGGAGGGACAGCTGGGAGATAAGGAAGGTATGAGAGTACGTCCCCTCTTCACATCGATCCTTTCCACCACCTGGGGAGAGGGTATTCACACGCCAAACCACAGATAAAGCTATAGGGAGGGCCAGGGTGAGAAAGGTTTGCAGTTTCAGCAGCCACCTCAGAGTGATAAAGACGAGAGCAAAAAAAAAAAAAAAAAAAAAAAAAAAAAGCTTTGGGGTTTCCCATGGGGTATGTGTGTGTGTTTGTGTGGGTGGGGGGGGGGGGGGGTAATCATTGTCATCACTCTTTTTAATGTTGGAAAACTGCACTTGATTGCAACCATCAATTTTGTTTGGTTTCAGGAAAAAAAAAGCCATACCGGACTGAAAACATTACATATTTCCTTCCTTCAGTTTTCTGACCTTGATTTTATTAAGCAGAAAAGCATCAAATGATTGGAAAAATTTATAACACAGAGGAACTCTAAGCATTTATAATTAATATGATTAGCTATGTCTATGTCTCGTCGCCACTGCCGTTGATTCAGAAAGCCAAGCTATTTGGCATGTTATGTTTACCCAATGATGACCATGTAAAAATGAAGCTTCGGTGTGTTTCTTAAAAGTTCTGAATACAGATGTTAATATTGTCGAAGGAAAGTGTATTCAGGTGAACCAAACAAGTACCTGCTTGTAACCATTTTCAGTTGACGTCGTCGTGTAAAACAGGGGTTCCTAATCCCGGGCCACTTTGGGCTTCCAAGTCATGGGCTTGCCCGCATCCGCCCGCAAAACTCCATGGAAACCAAGGGGAACGTCACAACGCATAGACTGACTGCACTGTATTGTGACGTGTAATACTTTTAGGTTTTCTCAAGTTTTAACAGTCAGAAAAATTGGATTAAAACAACATATCTGCAGGTTCTGAGACTCTGAACTTTAAAGTAACGACTAGCATATGGTATGCCTTCTTTTTGGTGCGCAACAAATGAACACAGTGTTGTTTAAAATGCAGGTATCAATATGTCGGCGCGCATATCACACTTGGAGAACTCAGCTGGGTTATGAAGGTGCACCGTGACCTCTGATATCAATCACAAAACCTGCCTGCTAAGATTCCTCATTCTGTTGTGGATACAGAGTAGGAAGGTAGGCTAAGGAGCCACACCTGTAAAATAAAAATTGCTGTCTTAACCATGAGAAATCAGGAGAGCCACTCCAGGCAGTGTGATTAGATGGCAATGAGATGTCATCAGCACAGCGTGCACTCAAACGGACACCGTGCAGATCGACGGGTAACTGCTACTTCCATCTTAATGATGTATTTTTACTGCATCTATCTCAAGCCCGTGAATAAACACGTGTCAAGTGTCTCGGAAAACAATAATTTTGTCTTTGTTGTGGAGTCCCCTAAACATAGGGAAGATGGACCATGGAACCACGACAAAAAAACAAAAGTATTAAATTTGACTAGATGGATGGATGATAGATGGGTAGACACTACTATACAAACTTTCCTCTTCAGATTTAAAAAAAAAAAAAAAAGTACAATTCAACATCTCACTAAAAGCTTTCATCCCACTGTGGGGGGAAATGATTATTTCAATCATGTCACTGACAAACTCAAATTTCAGAACAGTGAGGTTTGGGCTGCTGCATTCCAGCTCCTTCCCCCATTATTCGAACACCACGGTTGGCTGCTTGAGATTTCCTTCACTGCTTTGATGATAATGCGCTTCGGCAGGCCAGTGGAGTAATGACCATCTCTCAGTGTGGCACTGTGCAAGGTTGCGCTGCACTTCACGCTCATGTTTTCCGTTTTACACTCACTCACATTCATCGCGGGCACTTGATGAACATACTCAACACTTAAATCTGCCGCGGATCCAGAGAAACATATCGAGGGCCTCAAAACAAAATCAATTGATCTTGTAAAGGAGCAGCAAACAAGAGATTCACTTACCACCCCCTCCTCCAAGTAGACTTGAATTTGCTGAAAAGAGAGAAATCAAATGTCAAAAAAGCTTGCACAAAAAAGACTATCGTGAGTGCTCGACATCTAATACACAAGGATCCATTTGAGCATGTCAAGAAAATGCAGAAATATTCATTTTTCAAACGCAGGGGCTCGTGCAGAAATTAAAGGTGCACGATGCGGGCCAGAGTGAAAGTTGCACTTTTCATCCACAAAATGACGTTCACGTCTCATGAAAGAAAATCAAATTGTGTAGTTCCTTCACATCAAATCGACTAATTAGCAGATGTATTGCTTAGAGCAAGGCTACGTTAAAACGTTAGCCCTGTCCAAGCAATTAAAAATGCCCTGTGGCGCGAGAACGCTGGGTTCATCTCATTGAAACACAAGCATCGGGAATTTCTGGGTTGTTATGGAAACATGTCACAGAAATGGACAGGTTCCAGGAAGATGAATACGTTGAAAGAATACAAACCAGATGCATTGCTTGAGTTGCTTGTAAAACGAAGCACCGTTTCGATAGATGCACTCTATTTTTTTTTTGCAACAGGCAGCATAGAAGATAAGTGCATGCACTTATTGAAGTGGCGAGCATATCATGTGACAATTAACCTATTTAGGTTTTGCTCTGTCAGAGAGATCCGTTCCACACGAAAAGGAGAAAGATTAGAAGGAGAGATTGTGAAGAATATATCAGTTAATTTGGGTGTTCGAGAAAGTAGGAAGTTTGTGTTTGAAGTACGGTTCACACAACGGGCACTGGAACAATCATACTGCAAAATATTCCAATAACGATCATCTGTTCCAGCGAGATCATTAGCAGGCAAAAGTAGACCATTTAATAGTTATTTAAAAATAAAATAAAATAAATGAATAAAATAAATGGATAATGAACATGTGGTGTCAGGAAGAACTTGAGAATCACAGCACAGATTATTATTATTTTTTTTTTTTTTGTTATGATGGACACCGGGGGGATTTGTGGACCTTCCACAACTTTCTGTGGCACCATCATGGCTTTCCATTGTTGTCACTGAGCAGCACGTGTGGGAGGGAACAGGGACAAAGGAACGCTCGCCCGCTGCAGAATTTGCTTCATCAAAGGTCTTTTGTTATTTTTTTTTTTTTGTTATGATGGACACCGGGGGGATTTGTGGACCTTCCACAACTTTCTGTGGCACCATCATGGCTTTCCATTGTTGTCACTGAGCAGCACGTGTGGGAGGGAACAGGGACAAAGGAAAGCTCGCCCGCTGCAGAATTTGCTTCATCAAAGGTCTTTTGTTATTTTTTTTTTTTGGTGTTTGCACATGGGGTAGGTGCATAACATAACAGACAATAAACTCCAACAATGATATACTGACAGTCTGCTGTCATGTTTACAATGGTGCTTCTCCTTTTCTATGGAGAGACATGTTCATGTAAACATTTTTCTTTTTATGTCTGGACTGTCAACTTGCCATTCAGAAACGATAACGCAAGGTATATTTTCGTGTGAAAAAGCTGATTATATTAAGAGACAATGGTGAGGTGCATCAATTAAGGTCCAAGTGATATATGACGGATATGTACTTTTGGGTAAAAGGTCTCATTCGGCTGTATTTTCTTGTCAACTGTTTATCGGGTTTGTGAGACCATTTGGGTTGGAAATGAGCAGGACGCCTGTATTCAAGCTTTTTTTTTTTTTTTTTTGGTCCTGTCTTGATTGGGCGTGTAGCGAGCACGAAGAGGGCAGGTACTTAAAGAACGAACCATGAGTCTTTGTCACGGCGGCGCCAAATTTGCTCGTTTTGCAGCCCTGTTGCCTTTCAACGTGCATTGCATAGAAACGACAAACCGCTTGGACGTTAAACGCAAACCGTGTCAGACACATTTTGACCCATTTTATGTCGAAAACAGTGACAAAAAATGGATTCCGATGGCATGGGACCTTTAGGGTTTTGATTGTTCTACGTTACCACTGGACTATTATGAACACAATGAAAGTCAACGTTTCAGCGCTTGCTTAAAAGGAAGCTGATATCAAGGTATTTGTAGTTTTCTGAAAGTCTATCATTTTCTTGTCACCCGGGGAGTCTTCTCATTCCTGATCTATTAAAACACTAGGGTTTAATTACTTGACATTATGGAAATGCATGCCAGAGGGGGGCCGCTTCATTTACTCCACACCTAATCAGAGGATGAAGATGTGTTTTCTAATCAGTCTGACAAATCTTGAACGTGTGCGCGACATTGTCTCAGCGAAAGCTATGAGAATACTATATGAGGATGTTTTCAAGCCACGTGACTTGATCTTGCAGTGCAGGGACTGTTTGGCAACCATCTCTCATCGGTTATTGGTAAAATAAATATGAAAGCAGAAAGGTGTGGAGGTTAAAGTGCTCCTGCATGCGTTTTCATTTCCTGTCTCCCCCATCGCCTCTTTTAATAGTCAGAATGTCATGAAACACGTCCCAGCTGTTTATCTATCAGCATGCTATACTGTATATGCAAATAATATCCGCAGCCAGAGCCACACTTGTCAGTTGTAATAGAAAATACTAAAATATCAACAAGGGCTGAAGACAAGCATAAGAGATCTTTCCCGCTTGTGGAAACCTTATTGAAATGCCAGAAAGAATAGTTATTCCCAATGTCATCAATTTCAAAATTCCTTTCAAGTCTGCATTTGCTTATGTTTTGGTGCTTTCAGAACACTGCAGCAATTGGTGCCAGCGTCTTCCAAAGCAGTTTTTCAGGTACATTGCCCAAGGTTTAAAAGACAGTATTTCTCAGGATGGGCAGATACATTCGATTCCCGTGCACTTTGGGTGAGTTTCATCAAACAAAACATGGCTTTTATGTAGTTGGCTTCCAAAAAATTATCTGACAGACTTTTTTTTTTTTGAACACTTCATCTCAATCTGTTAGAATGAGTGAACAAGCAATTTAGCACCTGTCATTTGGGATCTTGGTAAAGGATCGCAACAGTGCGCACAATCTGAAAACACATTTTGCCGGCTCTGTTAAATAAGATCTGAAAGTTTTTGTACACAAAAAGGTTTTGTGTCCTATTCAATAAAAAAACTATGTTGGAGGTGTTTCAATTATTCCGAGTGAAAATCAAATCAGAAATCTATGTTTGGTCATTTAGACTCTATAAAAACAGATAACTGTTCACACAGTCACTGTGTGGGAACAGAACCCACGGTGCCTACACAGAAGTCAGGCAACTGTACCACGACATCGTCATTGACTCAGTTACAAGTCAACAGTGATGAACTTTGCATTTGAAAGCAGAAGAAAAAATAAAATAAAGAAATAAATACTAATGATCACGCGTGTGTGTGTGTGTGTGTGTGTGTGTGTGTGTGTGTGTGTGTTTGTGTGTGTGTGTGTGTGTGTGTGTGTGTGTGTGTTAAGAAAAAACAACCATAAATAGTAATGCTAGCAGTGCATGAGGTGTCCAGCATTGTCCATCCATAGAATAAACAAAAAACACTCACAGTGCTATTCTACTCAATACAAACCACGACTAAAATGATTTGTTGAAGTAGTGTCTTTCAATTTCAGACCAAGGGAGGATTTACAAGAGTCAATACCTTGTCAAGGACAGAGTGACCACCGATCTATCCACCTCAATAACAACTATGAGAGAAATTGAAATTAAACAAGGAGTATCATTGTCTTGAACTTTTGAACACAAAAAAAAAACCGAGAGTGAAGGTATGCACAGAGGGTTAAATTGAGCCAATTAAGGAAAGCACAGTGGAGAAGTGTAGGCTATGACGTGTATCAGAAGGTGAATTGTCCCAGTGGCAACCACGACGCAGGTCATAAATCTCAATGGATGGGCTCCCGGGGCTGCCTGGAGATGGCAGGTCATTAGAAACTCCTGGTCCACAACATTGAGCTAACTCATCCACCACATGCCTTCACTGGCACTGTGGGAACACCACTTCCAGTGTGCCTTTTGAACTTTTAATCCCCCACAACCCTCACCCGCCCCCTCCACACACACACACACACACACACACACACACAACTCGCAGCCAATGGAAACACAGAGGGTTAAACTGCTGTGTATTTGCATAGCGAGAAAAATATTGATTACAGAGCCAGAAGGTATGACGGCCCCAGCTTATGAATTGTGGCACCGCATCAAGATTCTTCCCCTCCACCACCATCCTCAAGCCTCACTTTGTGTGTTCATTTGTAAAGCATCCATGCAACGTATTGCACTGCAGAAAGTGAGGAAAGAGGCACCGTTATGGGTGGCTTGTTTCGCCTCATCGGCGCAACTCTTGATCACGCAGCTAAATGGGATGCACCATAATCTTGTTTTCGAGACTCTCCGTAAAATCAAGCACTCTTAAAATCCAGAGATTGGCACGTTACTAAAATTTGCCAATCTGCCATTCGTCATTCACCTGCAGCCGGGCCACCCGTCCGTCATTGTGGGTCCATCACTCCGTCATTATTTTAACCGTCACCATTGCAAAATTGGTGTTTGTTTTAGGACCACCACTAAATTTCACCGGTCCGGCAGTCCGTTACTCTGTCATCATTAATTTAGCCACGCTTGTCTCTGCTAAATCTATCCATGACCTATAATGTTGCAGTCAATTCGAACACAAGCCTTCTCCTTTTCTTATTTTATTGACGGATTACAGCTCTTGGGTGCATACGGCACCTATTGTACGCAGTGTACAGTAACCGCAAAGAGACTCGGCAGGCAATGTTATCTTACTATGGGTCAAAGCTTAGCCTTTCTGGTGACATGTTTCCATATATAGTCAGTGCAGGCTGCTCAAAGCATTCCCGGTGTCTCTTCACTCCTGCAAACAAACAACAAACTCTCCAGCCACGTGGCACTTATTTCAGTCAGTCGTCAGTGAAACTGGGGTCCATCGGTGATGGACTGAGAAGGTACTGACACCATAAGTGACAATTCCAGTGATGGACAAAAACCTGTTAATGCCTGCGCTTGTCCATTTTTAAGTTTCCCATCATTCAGCACACTGGGAGTTCGTCAGTAA